AAGTGGAAGAATCAGGTAATACTAAAGGGAATATAATAAGGTCTTTGAGTGATGTCTCCTCCAGAGAAGAACCCGCAGTAAATGGATTAAAATTAGATAAGTATTGATTTATAAAGGACATAGGAAAGTATAGGTTTGGAAATAGGGAAGTTAGCAGAGTGGAACCAGAGAACCTAGTTAGGTTTATATGAGGCTGTGACATATGGGTCATTCAAATCGGATAGGATAAGTACATAGTGGGCGGGTTGGATTAGAGTGTGACTATTCACCTCAGAGCATATTTCTTGGGTGGCATGAAAATATGGGTTGGGGCAAATGTTTGGTAGGTGGGATGAAATTGTAAAGGACCTGCCAAGAATGTGGCCAACGGCCTCCAGCAGTGTTCCTGCCATTCTTATGTTTCTTAATTTTCATAGAGGCAAAATCCTCCCCATATCTGATCAGGCTCTGCAGATAGTTGATGCTGAGTACCCTGGAAAGGTAAACAATACTTAGTAAAGACATGTATAAGCCATGTTACATAAAAAGATGTTTGCATTTAGAGAATCTAGAGTGCAAGGTCATCATAGAACTTACACAAGGATACAAATTTTGTAGATGAATAAAGATATATTCCAGGATTGATGAGAGCAGTTAATTGTGCTTGACTTGCTGCGTAGTCAAGAAGTATTTTTTTCAGCGAATTAATGATTACCATTGTGATTACATAGGGCCCAATGTCTGAATTCAATGGACTATGAAGCGGGGATATACATATGTGGAACGATGTAAAGAATCAGTATGATGAACTTAACTGGTGTGGACTCATTTTAATTTTATTTATTTATTTAATTATTTATTAATTGAACATGAAACAGTGAAGCACAAAGGAATACAGTTTATAAACAAGCAACAAGCCAAAGCCCCTCTAAGCAGAGCATTATGGGGCAGCAAAAAATTAACTTTTAATAAACCCTTTGACTGTCGCGGTCGAATAAGAACTTCCTAGGAGATACCGTGTTTTTACGATCTATTATGCCTAAATTCTAGTGGCTTTCAAATCAAACAGGAGAAAGCTGGTAGGCCACATGTGAAGAGAATGGGATTCATGACCGTGAGGCACCGAAAAAAAAAAAAATCGGGAGGCCAGTGGTGCATTGTGTAAAACCATTTCCGTCTTCCTTTTTCAGCATGTTTAGCGGTAAGAAATATGTCCTACCCAGCAAATTTCTTGGACTCTTCACTTTCCCAAATAATGCCAAACACAGATGGAAGTGTCTCAATGAAGATCAATATCATGATTTCGAGATTTGAGCCCAAAAGCAATGGAGGACTAGGAGGAGGAAGAAGAGGAGGAGGAGGAGGATGGAAGAAGAGGAGGAGGAAGAAGAGAGGAGGAAGGAAGAGGAAAGAGAAGGAAGGAGAGGAAGGAGGGAGGAGAGGAAGGAGGGAGGGAAGGAGGAATGAGGGGGAAGAGGCGGGAGGAGGAAGAAGGAGGGAGGATGAAGAAGAGGGAGGAGGTGGAAGGAAGGGGAGGATGAAGGAAGGACGGGAGGAGTGGAAGGAGGGAGAGGAGAGGAGGGAGGAGGAGGAAGGTGGAAGGTGAGTAGGAAGAAGACGACGAAGAAGAAGAAGACGACGAAGAAAAGAAGAAGAAGAATGACGATGAAGAAGACCACCCCCTAATACCTAATAAAAATAAAAGTAATAAAAGTTACCCAAGAGGCATGAAAACAGTTCACTGGTCCCATGACAGTGACAAGATAAGGGGAGATAACATCTGAATAAGAGCTGACCTTTGATACGAAAAACGAGGGTGTGAGGAGGGGTCATCTGCCAACTGTCAAGAGCCAGGAGGAAGGAGGAGTGAGGAGGAGGAGGAGAGGAGGAGGAGAGGGAGGAGGAGGAGGAGGAGGAGGAGGAGGAGGAGGAGGAGGAGTAGGAGGAGGAGGAGAAGGAGGAGGAGGAGGGAGGAGGAGGAAGGAGGAAGGGAAGGATGAGAGGAGGAGGAGGAGAGGAGGAGGAGGGAGGAGGAGGAGAGGAGGAGGAGGAGGGAAGGAGGAGGGGAGGAGGAGGAGGGGAGGAGGAGGAGGAGGAGGAGGAAGGAGTGTGATGTGAAGGAGGAGGAGGAGGAGGAGGAGGAGGAGGCTGATGTAGGAGGAAGGAGGGAGGAGGAGGGAGAGGAGGATGAGGGAGGATGAGGAGAGGAGGAGGAGGAGGAGGAGGAGGAGGAAGGAGAGGAGGAGGAGGAGGAGGAGGAGGATGATGAGGAGGATGAGAGGAGGAGGAGGAGGAGGAGGAGGAAGAGGAGAGGATGCGGCGTCTTCGTCTGCGGCTTCGTCTTGCGCCAGGCGTCGCGACAGGGCTGCGGCTGCTGGTCTCATGCTTCGTGCTCAGTGCGTCTAGGCGCAGGCGCCAGGCGCAGTCTCAGGCGCATCTCCAGTGCTCAAGTCTCATGGCGCAGTCTCAGGGCGCAGCCTGCCGCCCCCACCTAATGACAGACAAGACCAATATAGACAGACATGCCCACACACTGTCTCTACCGACAGCTCGATCTCAGCGAGAGCCCCCCGACTGACCAACCTCCCTTTAAACACCCAACATACAAGCCGCGACTAGCACATTGTCTGGATATAATTTAGGTAATCCTAGGAATAACGCACTATGACTAATTGTATTTATGTTACCTGTGAGACAGCGAAAGACACGCCCTATATACCGGCAAGACCGAAAGAAAGGCGATAGACTTAGGTAGCCAGAAAATTAGAACTAATGGAGGTGGAAGCAGCATCGTACTCCCCAATGGTATTGCCCGGCGGAAGGGGCAGTGCGTTATCCTGAGAACAATCATGGCCATTAGTACCGCCTAAATGCTGCCCGACACCTGACTCAAAACATTAAAACCACACACTCTCGCACACACGACCAGCAGTGCAGAAGGGTGGATAAAAGCAGATTTTTATGAAAGAATCTAGTGACAATATATGTGTACAATAATAACTCACCACAAAGCCACTAAGGGACGGCAGGAATGAAGGAAGGACTAAGTGAAAGGAAGGAAAAAAGTCATGAAGGCCAGATGACGGAATGAGGCAGAGAGGTGAGAATGCCCTCCATTAGCCTCCAGGTGCGAAAGGAAAGCAGGAATTAGAAGACGGAATGAAGACACATAACACGACCATTTACCTAGGCAAACTACATAACACAACTGGCCTGCTAATACATTGAAGAAAACGCTCAGAGAAGGAGTTTAGTCATTGCACTCCCTAAAAAAAAACATCACCCAAAAGCGCACAACACTGATTATACTGTGTGAGAGTGGAAAGAACACCACAAAGTGAATGACACCATTGTTATTGTTTGAGGAGTGAAAAACACCACTGTGTCTGACAACCATGTTTTATGTGTAAGTAGGAGTGTAAAACACCACTGTTATGACACCATGTTTTATGTGTGAGAGTGTAAAACACCACAGTGTATCACACCATGTTTCCACAGAGTTCCACAAGCTTGCAGAACATCTAGGATATGTTCATTGACTGTATATTGGTATATATATTATAGAACAATATAATAAACAATTTTTTGTATTGTTTGTTTTTGTAAACAAGTTTTTGTATAGAAAAAATTGATAATAATGTTTGTGTGCTTATTGTGTTGTATACCACGAGTGTCATATATGTACATTGCACCTTACTTTGGTCTCACAAGGCCACATAAGTTATTTGAAAAAATAAATAGTGAAAAAAAAAACAACAAACCTTCACATACAAGTAAACTACATTTTTACCGTGGTGAGCGGCAGTCGCCGCTGTTGCCATAACGTGGCACATTTTCTGCAACTCATGCCTGTATATCTCGTAAGTTACTGATGGGAAATTTTTTTTTTCGGTAACTAAAACAAACAGAAAAAAAATCTTAACAATTTCATAAGAAAAAATTATTTTTTTTTTTTTCGAATAATTTTGCGACACAAGGAGACACTTCAGGATTTGGCCTTTTCGACAGTCAAAGGGTTAACTAAGCAAAGATATTATTCAGTGGTAAAAACGTTATGTAAACGATTAACAATTTAAGCAAAAATGGTATAACAAAGACAGGTCATTTATGGTCAATACTGTGTTGAATGTGCATTCATAGAATGAGTATTCCGTTAGGTAATGTATTTAAAAAAAAAGTAAAAAAGAAAAATAAAAAGTTTGATTGGGTCTCAGGTTGACATTTAAGAGATACAATAATGAGAAACAATATGAAAACAATTTTAAAGCATACAATTATCAGTATTTATTTAGTTGTGGGTGAGTACGGATTTTTGAGAAAAATATGAATTTATAAACATGTTTCTTTATCTTCACAGGTTAATGAATTCCGAATTTTAGGCCTTTTTATGTGCATTTGAGGTTTTTGCATAGCAGAGATGGACTCGAGGAACCATCAAAGAGTGATCTGTGCCTTGTGTTATTGGGTCCTGTGTTCTGCTGCGGTTGGTAAGGAAACGTTTAAGGGAGGGTTTTATATGTCAGAGTTAAGTGTTCTATTGTATGTTAAGTAGGTGCAGTAATAAGTATGGATTTGTTTTGTAAGGTGAGTAGGTTTAGAGTTTTGAATATGGTGGAGTGTGCTGGCCTGTAGTGGGAAATTGTTATCAATCCTGACTGCATCTTTTTGTTTGTGTAAATTAAGGTACGAGAATGGTTTTATATGTTGTTGAGTGCCCCACACAAACAAAATTCCATAGGTGAGATAGGGGTAAATAAGTGAGTGATAAAGGGCCCAGAGGGCCGGACAGTGGAACAAAGTAAACCGGTATCTTTGATAGTATGCCCTACAGTCCTTGAAAATTATTATTGGAAATATGTTTGTTTTTGTGTTAGAAATTTTTGGATTCTATTATATTCAAGGTGGATTCCCTAAGAATTTTCCCTTCTCTGTGAGTTTTGTGATAGGTGATCCGTATTATCAATATGTTAAAGTGCGACAGAAGTCCGTGTCTGAAGTGGTCCTAGTGGCATTAAAAGAACAAGGGAAGTAACCCCGGAAAAAGACTTGCTACCTCAAGTCCTAATGGAAGGGGATTCCCCTTCTAAACACTAAGAAGATCAACACTCTCCCCTCCTCCCATCCCATAAATCATCACCAGATCTTCAATAAAGGTAAGTGTCATGTAACTGTGCATGTCTTCTTCAGTTTGTGTGTATTAAAACTAATATTTCATGCGGTAAAATTTTTTTTTCAATACTTTGGGGTGTCAGGAACGGATTAATTTGATTTCCATTATTTCTTATGGGGAAAATTAACTCAACTAACGATAATTTCGATTAACGATGAGCTCTCAGGAATGGATTAATATCGCTGGTCGAGGGTTGTTATGGGGCTATAGGACCCAACATGTATTTATAAGTAACAGTTACTCTGGAATACCTAATTATATTGAATTGATGGGGACTCAGTTCTAAATGTCATAAGGGCTGATCAACCTTATGACTGAGAGGCAGCTGGGTCAAGCCTATTTTTCTCAATATAATAGGTTATACTATAGACACATAAACACACAATTTAAATAAGTAGTTTATAAAGTTGTATTTCTTTTTGTAAAAATAAAATTAAGATGTGGTAGAATTGTGGTAACTGGAGAATTGTGCTTGGCAACAGTCTTTTGTTTTGGTGGGAGGAGCTTAGCTAGGCTTCTCTCTCTCTCCCTCTCTCTATGGCTGACCTTCAACCTGGCAGGATCTCTGGGTCCTTCTTCTATCTTTTGGGGCAGTATGTGTGCTCCAGGGGTGAGTTTTTATAATTTAAGTTGTGGCCACCATACCCAGGGTGACTAAAGTGTGTCAAAACACTGGTTAGCCCAGAGTTATGTCAAGAAGAGAGAAGGACAAAAGTTAATAAGATACACCATGTGGAGAACAGCTATGGAGTGTGTAGATCTTTGTTTTGAAAATGTGAGGCTGTAATTGTATATTCTGTACATATCTATTGAGAATACAGTTATATTTTTATAGTAGTAGTTTACATAACCTGTGAAGAGGGCTGGTGAAAGGATATCAGAGACACTCAGGATGATCAGCCATAATGTAAGTATTACCCCTAGACAGATAAGGCCATTAAGTAAAAAGCTACCCCACACTAGAACATGTAGTGAGAACCTTACTATCAAAGTAATAAGGGACAAACCAACGTAACATGGGAGCTTGACCGGGAGAGTTATTTGATTGCTAAAATAACTCAAAACATTCTTTGAACTATATGTGCTGGTATGGGGTAATAACAGTTGCATGTTTCTGTTAGGAGAAGATTTACCAAGGTGGTGTCAGTGGAAGTGTTGTTTTCATATATTAGTTTACAGGTTGTTTTTCTCCTAAGGTGGGAGAAAGGTTGAGTAACACATTTTTTGTTGTGGTTATGGTAAGTGCTATGTGCATAGTTTACATTCAATTTGTGTTATTTTATGTGCCTGTGGGAAAACTTTGTCCACTAATACTGTAAGAGGGAAGCAAGTGTTTAAAGATAAAAACTACGTCAGAAGATGAGTCTTTAAACTTTTTAGGCTTCAGGGAAGAAGGTAATAATTCATCAGTAAACATGCCTGTTAACAGTGAACATGAGGGATCACCTACTCCAGGTGATATGGAAATGGAGAGAATGAGACTTAAATTAGCAGTACTAGAGGCTCAGATGAACTTAATGAAAGCTAAGGAAGAAGAACGTCAGAGGTTAGGAGGTTCAGAACAAGAGCCTGAGCAGTACTTTAACATAACTAAAGCTGCAAATTTTGTCCCTAAGTTTACAGAGAGTGACCCAGATAGATAATTTTCTTTTTTTGAGAAGACTGCTTTGGAGCAAGGATGGCCCAAACAGAAGTGGGCTACCCTAGTTCGCACACAACTTGTGGGTAAAGGATTCCAGAGAGTAGAGACTCTGGAGGGGCAAAATTTTTCTGATTATGATAAAATTAAAGAGGAAGTATTGCTTGCATACCAAATGATATCTGAGAAATATAGACAAAAGTTCAGAAATAAAAAAATTTGGGATGGGCAGACCTTAACTGAGTTTGGGAATGAGAAACTGTTCCTTTTTAAGAAATGGGTTTGTTCTAAAGGAGTTAATAAAGACTATAACAAATTAGTAGATCTGATGGTTCATGAGGAATTGTACAATACAATCCCTGTTGACCTCAGAGAATATTTGGAGGACAAAAACCCAGATAATCTTTCAGAAGCACTGGATCTAGGTAACCGATTCTTGGCTCGCAGGGAATTGGTAAGTAAAAACAGTCATGCTCCTGAAAATTTCCCCACTCGTTCTAAACCTTATTCCAAGTCCTATGGTCATAAAGGTAAGTGGGACAAGAATTTTCAGGAACAAATGAAGGCTGAGGCACCCTCTAAAATAGAAAGAAAAGGTAAGTCAGCTGGAGCTCAAAGTTTACCTAGACATCAGATAATTTTTTCAGGTCCTCGAGTAAACAGTACCAGTCCTACACCAAATGGTAAAAATACCTTTAAGAGTTATGCCTGTTACTACTGTAACAAAACTGGACACACACAAAAGTTTTGCTGGTCAAGGCAGCGAGATCAGGAAAGGGAGGAACCACCCCAGAGGACTCTAACTGCAGACACACATCCAGTTGCCTGTATTTGGTCTTCAAAGCAAGGTGAGGAGGTACCTTTGGGTCTAGACCCCAGGATGCAGGTATTTTCTAGTAAGTGCACAGTTGCTTTGCATAAGGATGTGGGTAGGGTTGAGAACATAGTGTCCTTGAGAGATGGATGTAGCACCTACTCCTTGCTGGAGTGTTGCCAGTGTCTAAGGATACCTATATGGAGTAGATATATTATTGAAGGGTATTACGGGTTCAACCATAAGGACACCTGTACACAAATTATGGGTAGAATCTGCATACCAAGTGTTATGGGGTAAAAACCCAACATGTATTTATAAGTAACAGTTACTCTGGAATACCTAATTATATTGAATTAATGGGGACTTTGCTCTAAATGTCAGAAGGACTGATCAACCTTATGACTGAGAGGCAGCTGGGTCAAGCCTATTTTTCTCAATATAATAGGTTATACTATAGACACATAAACACACAATTTAAATAAGTAGTTTATAAAGTTGTATTTCTTTTTGTAAAAGTAAAATTAAGGTGTGGTAGAATTGTGGTAACTGGAGAATTGTGCTTGGCAACAGTCTTTTGTTTTGGTGGGAGGAGCTTAGCCAGGCTCTCTCTCTCTCTCCCTCTCACTGACTCTCTCTCTCTGTGGCTGACCTTCAACCTGGCAGAATCTCTGGGTCCTTCTTCTATCTTTTGGGGCATCATGTGTGCTTCAGGGGTGAGTTTTTATAATTTAAGTTGTGGCCACCATACCCAGGGTGACTAAAGTGTGTCAAAACACTGGTTAGCCCAGAGTTATGTCAAGAAGAGAGAAGGACAAAAGTTGTTGGAACACACCATGTGGAGAACAGGTATGGAGTGTGTAGATTTTGTTTTGAAAATGTGAGGCTGTGATTGTATATTCTGTACATATCTATTGAGAATACAGTTATATTTTTATAGTAGAAGTTTACATAACCTGTGAAGAGGGCTGGTGAAAGGGTATCAGAGACACTCAAGATGATCAGCCATGATGTAAGTATTACCCCTAGACAGATAAGGCCATTAAGTAAAAAGCTACCCCACACTAGAACATGTAGTGAGAACCTTACTATCAAAGTAATAAGGGACAAACCAACATAACACCAAGTCGGCTATCTTCCTGTAGGTATCTCAGATGAAATTCCCTTCGAAGGGGTCGACCTCTTATTAGGGAATAATGTTATGGGCCTGTTAGACAGTGAAGAACACTAGTATGGGGGCAACCAGGCCCAAAGTTTGGGAGAAGAAGGCTAGGGAGACCCTGCCAGACCTTTTCCCTGTTGGTGCCATCACAAGAATTATGTCTCATGACCAGGATACCAAGGGTAATCCTTATATTTCTCATGAGGATGGTGAGGACTTAGGTTTGGAAACTCTATTTTCTGAGGTTGAACTGCAATCAACTAAAGAAAAGGATACCACAAACCGAGTTGAGCCTAATCAGTGCAGAGATCAAAAAAGTAGTGTGAGGGAGATCGGGCCTACTATGATGCAGTTAATTGCTGCACAGGGGTGTGATGACACACTTAAGTCGATCAGAGCCTCAGCTGTGACTGAGGAGGGATCTTCATGTTTAAATAAATGCTTCTATTTCAGGAAAGGTTATACTCATGAAGAAGGCACCTTCGGTTGCAGTACCAGTAGAAGGAGAGCCAAGTTTTTGTCACCAGGTCGTGGTGCCTGAGCCTTATAGAAACCATGTTCTTAGCTTAGTGCATGACACACCTCTAGGTGGACACCTAGGTATTGCTAAAACAGTATCCAGGGTTTCCAGGCACTTCTTCTGGCCTCGGCTGTGGGAGACGGTGGGAGATTATATAAAGACCTGTCATGCCTGCCAAATTATAGGGAAACCTAATCAAAGCATTAAACCTGTTCCCCTTCAGCCGATTTCAGCACCAGGTGAACCCCTCAGCAAGCTGGTAGTGGATGTCGTTGGTCCACTCCCAAGGACCAGAATGGGAAATAATTATTTACTAGCAATAATTTGCTCCACTACCAGGTACCCAGAAGCAATCCCTCTAAGCAAGATAACAGCTCGAGTGGTCTTAAGGGCTTTGATGAAGTTCTTTTCCCATGTTGGCTTTCCTCGGGAGGTACAAACAGATCAAGGGTCTAATTTTACCTCGAAATTATTTAGGAATGTGTTAAAGGGGTTAGATGTACAGCCCAAATTTTCAACTGCCTATCACCCTCAGTCTCAGGGAGTAGTAGAGAGATTTCATCAAACTCTTAAGACAATGATGCGAGCTTATTGTATGAATAACACTAGTGATTGGGATGAGGGTATCCCTTTTCTCTTGTTTGCCGTGGGCGGGAAAGCACCCAGAATCTCTCAGTTTCAGCCTTTCGAGTCGTCTATGGTCATCCAGTGAGGGGACCACTGACTATTCTCAAGGAGCATTGGCTGGGCGGGGAAAATGAGGCTTCCCCGCCGGAAGATGTTCTCTTTTTCAGGAAACGATTGGACCAGGCGAGACAGATGGCAGCAGACAACCTTAAAGCTAGTCAGAGGGCCATGAAGCAGCGGTACGACCAAAGGGCAGCCCCTCGCTCCTTCAGTGTTGGAGAGGAAGTGTTAGCTTTGGAGCCGGTTCCGGGACATGCCTTGGCTGCACGATTTGATGGACCCTTTGTCATCACAGGCAGGTCTGGCCCCAATTATGTAATTAAGATGCCTGGCCGTCGCAAATCAGAAAGGACTGTGCACATTAACAGGTTGAAAAAATACCATTCTAGGGCAGGAGTTGCCGCTATTCAAGTTGAGTGTGACGATACTGAAAAACTTCCTGTAACAACAAAGGTAAGGCTGTGCAATTCAGCCATCTTGCAAAATCCCTTGGCACACATGAAGGGACTCAGTGTACAGGGAGCCTGTGACTTGGTTCAGTTACTCCAAAAATTTCCAGATTTGTTTGGGGATGTACCCAAAGTAAGTAAATTGCCTCCCCATGATGTGGATGTCGGGGAAGCTGTTCCAATAAAGCAGGCTCCTTACCGTATGAACCCAACAAAACAACTTCACATGGAGGAAGAAGTGAAATTCTTCCTTCAAAACCAGTTTGTAGTGCCTAGCGAGAGTCAGTGGGCATCTCCATTCCTGATGGTTCCCAAACCTGATGGATCTATGCATATGTGCACTGACTATTGCAGAGTAAATGAAGTAACGAAGGCTGACTGTTACCCTTTGCCATGTATGGATGATGTGATTGATGCTGTGGGAGGGGGAAAGTTTGGGGAGCAAAAATGGACTTACTTAAAGGTTATTATCAGATACCCTCACCCAGCGAGCAAGGAAATTTCCAGCCTTCGTCACTCCAGATGGGTTTTTCAAAATAATGTTTCTTCCTTTTGGGTTAAAAAATGCTCCTGCCACCTTCCAGCGTCGTATAAATACTGTCATAAGGGGATTGGATGGTGTACGGGCCTATCTAGATGATATTGTGGTATTCAGTAACCAGTGGGAAACTCACTTGGTAAGATTACAAAAGTTGTTTGGACGTCTATCCCAAGCCAAACTAACCATCAATCTGAGCAAAAGTGAGTTTGGCCAAGCCAGTGTACAATTCTTAGGATATGTAGTTGGTCAGGGGAAAGTTGCCCCAATTAATGCTAAGGTGGAGGGCATTATGAATTTTCCTAGACCACAGAATTGGAAGGCAGTGATGAGGTTCCTGGGCATGGTGGGTTATTAAAGACGGTTCTGCCCCAACCTCTCCCAGGTAACGTCACCACTGACAACTTTGACCAGTCCCAAAGTTCAAGACAGGGCTTTTGAAAATGTGAAAATGTTATTAGGGAATGCTCCTATCTTGAAAAGTCCTGAGTTTGAATGCCCCTTCTCTCTACAAGTGGATGCTAGTGATGTAGGGGTAGGTGCAGTGTTGTTGCAGGGTGATGAGAGAGATAGCCTTCAGCCAGTTTGTTACCATTCAGCCAAATTAGAAAAGCATAAACGTGGTTATGCAACTGTAGAGAAAGAGGCTTTGGCTTTGGTGTTGGCTGTGCAGAAATTTGAAGTTTATATCAGTGCATCCCCACATCCTGTAATAGTGTATAGTGACCATAACCCTCTGAGGTTTTTGCAAAGAATGAGAAACCACAATCAAAGACTCTTAAGATGGGCTTTGTTCCTACAGCCTTTTAATTTGAAAGTTAAATATATAAAAGGCTCAGAGAATGTGGTTGCTGATGCTCTCTCTAGATGTTTCATGTAGAATGCATGGTGCGTACTTTGTACATAGTGTTTGTCATGTGCTGACTTGTGTTTTTTTCAGTGGTGAACTCTTGGCGAGCCTGAGTATCTCTACCCGCCCTCTGACTGTTTAAGGGGTCGAGTCAGAGCCAAAAGTGTGACGAGGGTCAGGGTGTACGTAAATGTGAGTTGAGGCAGTGGTTGACAAACCTTCGGTAACATGGACGTTCAGGAAAGTATGTGATGTTGTGTCTTGGTGTGCTCTATATACAAAACGGCCCGACGATTTGCCTTTGTGGTCCCTGGATCCTCCATGTTCTATGTCAGCCTCCTCTTCATAAGTTTGGAGGATCTGTGTGGAGTGGGACCTCGGAAGATGGGGCTTGAGTGCCTGACCATGTTTTAAAGGATCGTGAGTGTTTTACTGGAAGTCTCACTGTTTGGTTCGGCCACCAAGTGAGAGACACCTTGACATGTTTTGTGAAGTTTCCTGCCTGGTGTACACCTGACTGCTCTGGGTTTGGCTTACTCTCGTCTCCTGATCAGGAAGATGCCACCCTGGAGTACCAGTTGCTTGCTGGATTACTGTAGCAGAGGCACAGGCCCTTTTTGGGGCGGACTTTCACAGTGGCATGTGTGCAATTTTTGCATTGTATGTTTTTATTGTTTTAAAAGTCACTAAAATTGTAAATAGTTACACCCTTGAGTATATGGGTATGGTTTTAAAAAGCTTTTCTATAAAAAATTCTGCAATCTGTTGTAAATAACAGTTTAAAATGAAAAGTAGTTATGGTGCTGGGGAAAAATGTAGCATTTCTAGTAGTCTTGTTTACCGCCTTCAGACTTAGCAATATACTTTTTACTAGCCGTATCCTGAGGGACACGACTAGCTTTTGTGAGACTTCGTCTGGGGTGGGGTGTTATGGGGCTATAGGACCCAACATGTATTTATAAGTAACAGTTACTCTGGAATACCTAATTTTTATTGAATTGATGAGGACTCAGTTCTAAATTGGGCATAAGGGCTGATCAACCTTATGACTGAGAGGCAGCTGGGTCAAGCCTATTTTTCTCAATATAATAGGTTATACTATAGACACATAAACACAATTTAAATAAGTAGTTTATAAAGGTTTTTCTTTTTGTAAAAATAAAATTAAGATGTGGTAGAATTGTGGTAACTGGAGAACCCGTGCTTGGCAACAGTCTTTTGGGTTTTGGTGGGAGGAGCTTAGCTAGGCTTTTTCTCTCTCTCCCTCCCCTTGACTCTCTCTCTATGGCTGACCTTCAACTGGCAGGATCTTCCCGGGTCCCTTTTTCTATCTTTTGGGGCAGTATGTGTGCTCCAGGGGTGAGTTTTTATAATTTAAGTTGTGGCCACCATACCCAGGGTGACTAAAGTGTGTCAAAAAAACTGGTTAGCCCAGAGTTATGTCAAGAAGGAGAGAAGGACAAAAATTAATAAGATACACCATGTGGAGAACAGCTATGGAGTGTGTAGATCTTTGTTTTGAAAATGTGAGGCTGTAATTGTATATTCTGTACATATCTATTGAGAATACAGTTATATTTTTATAGTAGTAGTTTACATAACCTGTGAAGAGAGCTGGTGAAAGGATATCAGACACACTCAGGATGATCAGCCATAATGTAAGTATTACCCCTAGACAGATAAGGCCATTAAGTAAAAAGCTACCCCACACTAGAACATGTAGTGAGAACCTT